CAGAAGCCTGATTTTTTTCATTTCTTTTCAATTTCCCGCGTCCTAAATACGACCTAGAAATCGCGTGATATATCAACTTCAGTTCGTCAATTTGCCGGCGGTCTATCTGATTAGTACGCCTCTAATTACAAGAACTATCGGACGTGCACTGTAGGATCCCGAGGACCAATCACAAACAAGTTTCTTTTGTGCAAGAGAATGAAAATAGCTGTGGCTAAGAGTTCGCTGAGCTGGCACGTGATAAAGGTGCTATGTTCCGTGAATGAGAACGTCAGTTTAGTGTACCTTACGCAACGGTAACACCGTGTCGTACTGGCTGACGTTTTGGCTGACTCTAGTTTTTGATCCAGGTAAGTAACTTTTCCAGTGTCACGTTTTAAGTCGCCACTTGTTATTAATCTTTTTTCGAATAAATTTTAATCAGCGAAAGCTCAAACTAGGAATTTTTTAACTTTGGAGCAAGGTGCGGTTGCATAACATCGGTGTCATATTGACTTCAAATTCGGTAATTGATCAGTACATGGTTTATGTAGTAAGACTTTTTGACGCACATCCCTCTCTATTAATTGTTATTCCGCAATTTAACAGCAGCGCGACTTCAGAATGCGTAAGACTACGTGTAGCTGTACCCTCCCACCCACCCCCCCGTGATACAGAGGGGAGGGGAGGGAGGGTACGGCTACACGCAGGCTAGCGTATAACGCGCGTTGTTGTTGACAGATCCATGACTTGAGTATGAGATCCATGACTGTTCCTGCACAGAAAATGAAAGTTCCGTGTAAGATGCAGTTACATAACATTGGTGACCTTCTGCTGCTAATTTCATTGAAAGCGATCGATTAAAAGTTTCCAAGCGCAAATGTTTATGAATGTTTTACGCCCATACCGCCCTTCATTCCGGAATTGGTTAAAAAAAACTTAAAAAAAAAAGACCAGCCTCTCGGTAAGTCGGGAAGATTAGGGGAAAAAAATGGCTTCCTTTTATGTACTGAATCACCACAGAAAATCACGATAACTGTAAAAATTGAGCAAGGCTTCTGAGTTCATTACACCCCTAGGAAGCTAATTTGCATTCGCATAAAAGGCAGCAAACATTCCAGATCGACGCTGTGCGATGTTATGCAACAGTATGTAAAAATACTGGCCGAGCGGCATACATAATAGACTACTATTTCTGAAAACCCCATCGTTTTAAACTTGGAAAGGATGAGGATCTCAATGGGGTGATGATGACTTTTACGGCTAACGGTTAAAATTTTGGCCAATTTACGGCAAACGGTTAATGTCTTTCCATTCGTTGTCACAGGAAATATTTTTCGGTGACCATTTTTTTACGATCAACAGATAAAATTTGTAAATAATATTAGAGAGTTCTGGATTCAAATTTGATGTGTTAACCGCAAACGTCAAACCGCGGTTAGAAGTTAGACGTCTGGAAATTTTCAACTTTTTAGATCGACGTCGCTTTTCTCCGACCTGTAAAAATCAACATGTGTCGCCATCTTGAATTACACAAAAGATGAAGGTCCTTCATTTCAAACACAAATTGTGGAAAAATTTTGGTTATCTAGCCTCCCAAACGGATTGGTTGAGAAGAAAAGATTTTATTTCACATACATTTACGGGACATACGTGAGAACTTTCGAACAGGAGGAGGAAAAGGGCCAAGGGAGTGCCTATGACCCTCCTCGACAAGGCAGAGTCTTTAAGTTCGACACTTAGATAACTCGCCCTTCGACGCCTGCATACCAAAGCTATCACGAAGTACAAGTTTACAATTGAAGTCTAAGGATATATTTTCATTAGCCACCAACATATAATGTGGCATATTTTCTTGTTTCCTGTATCCTACAGACGGTTTACGCTCTTTGGATTGAATTTAAGCCAGAATATTTTGCAGAGTAACATGTCAACCAACTCAACCAACCAAGACAACCAGGGAAACTTATCAGAAACTACAGCTGAAATCGAGAAGGTATCTAACATCATGCGAAACGAGACTTTAGAGGGGCTTTTTAACACATCAGAACTGACCGAGTGAAAGCGGAATTAACTGTCAGGAATACTCTAATTAAACTACCCTTTCTTCAAAGCTTCCGTTTCTAACAAGTCCTTTCCAGAACTTTTATTTTACTAATGCGTCCTCTATATTCTACCTTCCTCACTCTAACAAGTCTCCTTATCTATTAAGTCCCACTATCTACAAAGTTACCCTCTCTAATAAACCACTTCCTACTACTTCACCTCTCTTATACACCACTCTCTACTAATTCGCCTCTCTAATACACCACTCTCTACTAATACACAAATCTCTACTAATTCGCCTTTCTACTACACCACTCTCTACAAATTCACCTCTCTTATACACCACTCTCTACTAATTCGCCTCTCTAATACACCACTCTCTACTAATTTGCCTCTCTAATACACCACTCCCTACTAATTCACCTCTCTTATACACCACTCCCTACTAATTCACCTCTCTTATACATCACTCTCTACTAATTCGCCTCTCTAATACACCAATCTCTACTAATTCGCCTCTCTTATACACCACTCTCTACAAATTCACCTCTCTTATACACCACTCTCTACTAATTCGCCTCTCTAATACACCACTCTCTACTAATACACCACTCTCTACTAATTCACCTCTCTAATACACCAATCTCTACTAATTCGCCTCTCTTATACACCACTCTCTACAAATTCACCTCTCTTATACACCACTCTCTACTAATTCGCCTCTCTAATACACCACTCTCTACTAATACACCACTCTCTACTAATTCGCCTCTCTAATACACCACTCTCTACTAATTCGCCTCTCTAATACACCACTCTCTACTAATTCGCCTCTCTAATACACCACTCTCTACAAATTCACCTCTCTAATACACCACTCTCTACTAATTCACTTCTCTAATACACCACTCTCTACTAATTCACTTCTCTAATACACCACTCTCTACTAATTCACTTCTCTAATACACCACTCTCTACTAATTCGCCTCTCTAATACACCACTCTCTACTAATTCACCTCTCTTATACACCACTCTCTACTAATTCACCTCTCTTATACACCACTCTCTACTAATTTGCCTCTCTAATACACCACTCTCTACTAATTCACCTCTCTAATACACGACTCTCTACTAATTCACCTCTCTTATACACCACTCTCTACTAATTCACCTCTCTTATACACCACTCTCTACAAATTCACCTCTCTTATACACCACTCTCTACTAATTCGCCTCTCTAATACACGACTCTCTACTAATTTGCCTCTCTAATACACCACTCTCTACTAATTCGCCTCTCTAATACACCACTCTCTACTAATTCACCTCTCTTATACACCACTCTCTACTAATTCACCTCTCTAATACACCACTCTCTACTAATTCACCTCTCTAATACACCACTCTCTACTAATTCACTTCTCTAATACACCACTCCCTACTAATTCACCTCTCTTATACACCACTCTCTACTAATTCACCTCTCTTATACACCACTCCCTACTAATTCACCTCTCTAATACACCACTCCCTACTAATTCGCCTCTCTAATACACCACTCTCTACAAACTCGCCTCTCTAATACACAAATTTCTACTAATTCGCCTCTCTACTAAGCCACTTTCTACTAATTTACCTCTCTACTAAGCCACTTTCTACTAACTCGTCTCTCTAATACACGACTTTCTACTAATTTGCCTCTCTAATACACCACTCTCTACTAATTTGCCTCTCTAATACACCACTCTCTACTAACTCGCCTCTCTAATACACCACTCTCTACTAATTCGCCTCTATAATACACCACTCGCTACTAATTTGCTTCTCTACTAGGCTACTCTCTACGAATTTGCCTCTCTAAAACACCACTCTCTACAAATTCGCCTCTCTAATACACCACTCTCCACTAGTTCGCCTCTCAAATACACCACTCTCGAGTAATTTGCTTCCCTAATACACCACCTTTTACTAACATGCCTCTCTAATAAGTCACTCTCCACTAATTCGCCTCTCTAATAAGCTATTCTCTTAACTCGCCTCTCTAACTTACCACTCTCTACTAATTCGCATCTGTAATAAGTCACTCCTAACTAAATCACTTCTCTAATACACCACTCTCTACTAACTCGCCTCTCTAATAAGCCACTCTACTAATTCGCTACTCTAATAAGCGACTTTCTACTGACTCGCCTCTCTAATACACCACGTTTTACTAACTTGCCTCTCTAATAAGCCCTTCTCTACTAATTCGCCTCTCTAATACACCACTCTCTACTAATTAGACTCTGTAATACGCCACTCTTAACTAATTCGCCTCTCTAATACACCACTCTCTACTAATTAGCCTCTGTAATACGCCACTCTTAACTAATTCACCTCTCTAATACACCACTCTCTACTAATTCGCCTCTCTAATACACCACTCTCTACTAATTCGCCTCTCTAATACACCACTCTCTACTAATTCGCCTCTCTAATACACCACTCTCTACTAACTTGTTTCTCTAATAAGCCACTCTCTACTAATTCGCCTCCCTAATACACTACTTTCTACTAATTCGCCTTTCTAATACACTGCTCCGTACTAATTCGCCTCTCTAATAAGCGACTCTCTACTAACTCGCCTCTTTAATAAGCCACTATCTACTGATTAGCCTCTCTCATACACCACTCTCTTCTAATTCGCCTCTCTAAATTTAAATTTAAGAATGAGCCAAACAAGCTGAAAACTAGGAGACATTTTTCTTACAATCAACCCACAAATTTCGAACATTGGTGAATAAAGTTGAACTTGTTGTGTTCATTTACGGTCAAGGGGGCTCAGAATATGTCAGGTGCTAAAAAGACATTTTTACGAACGGAGATTTCAAGCTCTAGAACCAATCAGAACACGCGAACGTCTGAACGCATACGGTAATGCTGCCTTTGGTTATGAATATCATAGGTGCAGCAATTTACTGATTCCCTTTGATCTCAGGCTGCGATATACTCGTCCATCAAGTCTCTTGAAAACCTTCCGTTGGAGATTTGTGATGATCCTTTGCAAAGTATAGAAGAAATCGCCTTGAAAATCTTTGCTAACTCGATTGTCAGCGACCTCCTTATTCGCACATCTCGCCTTGACGTCTTTTCAAAAGAGCTGGCAAAATCATTCAGCGATGATCTGGAGTCCCTCTTGATGGTCAGGAAACTAAAGTATTTCTACAACCAACCAACTGGTGCAGTTTTACAGCAACTTGCCAGTCTTGTGCAAAGGTATGTAAATAAATCCATTTTCCTTTTGTCATTCCTTAATTTTGTTCTAGACGAGAAAGAAAAAACCACAAATTCGAAGAATGGTGAACAAAATTCGATAACCAACACAAGCCTCGGCCTTCTTCGCTTGTGGCACTCTAATTAGTTTAGTTAAGTCAGCTACATAAGTTTTAAAAGTAAATATGTTCTATATATGATTTTATTCAAATTCGTTTTGAATCTAGGGGACAGAATAAGGAAATTAAATTTATCTGACTGCAATTCGATACATCAAAACGGAGGTTTAGAAATTTGTTTAGAGGTAATATTAGGTATTTCTGTCACACCCTTTCCAAGGAAACAAACGAAGAAATATGAAGGTGTCGATCAGTCTATGATTAAATATTTTTTAAGCAATGAAATCGTTTCAAGAAACCCATTGTATTACAATACTTTTAATCTAAAAGTTAAGACAATTTCATGCATGCCTTGGGAAAATCGTTCCTTCCTTTTTGTTGGCAGATCTTCAAGTAATACTGTGGTCACTTCTAAATGGAATGAGATGGTTAAGATGTTCATAGACGATAAGACATTGCGAACCATGCCTTTGTGCCGTTTTCTTCAAGAGACAGACTGCCCGGAATGTTACTTGGAGAACGCTGAACATCTTGAGAAGTTTGACCCACACGGCCTCTACCCGACGTCCATTTATGGAAGATGCGAAGGAGACGTCCTGGCCAAATCAGATGCATCCCTTGTCGCCTGCACTAGTAAATATACACTGACGACAACTGCTAAGATAGTTTACGAGGTGTTGAGCCCGTCCAACCCCGAGCTTAGAAACGTGTATCAGTCCATTGGAAGGTTTGTTACTTAGTCCATGTTATGCGTTATAAATACGCCATTAATTAAGTTTACTCTACCTTATAATATTTGTTGTCTTACTGTTTTGTTGTCATTGGTTTTTACTAGGTGTGTGGCAGTAGTTGACAAAAATGTGGAAAAGATCTATGGCGCGGCTCTACAGACTTATTTCGATGAGTTCTCTATTGAGCTAAAGAAGCTTGTCCTTTCCGCAGAGGAAATCGACAAAGACATAGCCACTGTGCAGAGTACTTTGGTACTGTTAAAGAAGCTTGGCGTAAGAAGAAACGAGCCTATTTTAGTGGTCGGTAATGGTGTATTACACGACGTTATTGCCTGTGCTGCCTCTCTGTACCATCGTAATACACCCTACATCATGGTGTCTACAAGTGTTGTGGCGGCCATCGATGCAGGCTTGTCACCTCGCACTGGGTGCGATGGATTCGGCTTCAAAAACCTCTTCGGTTCGTTTCACCCCCCTGTCCTGGCGCTGACTGATAGAAGCTTCTTTCGAACCCTTCATCGTGGCTGCTTGCGCCATGGCATTGCCGAAATTGTCAAGATGGCGATAGTTAAGGATGAAGAACTCTTCTGCCTTCTCGAGCAGGAGACCTCCACTCTTCTGTGGACCAAATTTGGCACTGAGATGGAAGATTTCAGAGGAGATAAAAAAGCCTTTGAAGATGTTTGTGACCTGATTATTGGCAAAGCTCTTGAAGAGTACGTAGATTAGATCTATGAGATTGTTTAAGTAAGAAGTTGTATTATAAAATAGCTAGCAGAGCCGCGCAATCAAATTCAGTATACGTAAGCGTGCTCAAAATCTCGATAGTGCACGCTGATAGCGTGAGCAAATCGCTTCGCCAGAAATTTTTTTTTTCGCGCGAGCGGCCATTGTTAGCGCGGGGAAAAAGAATATATTTCGCGACAATAGTGGATACAAACAGAGGCTCGGCCCAACAGTCCCAAAACGAAGACAATTTTCCGACCTTTTCCCTTAGGGCTAGAGTTCTTAAATGAGGCAGAAAAAGAGAAAAACAACGGAAAAGGAGACTCCGCGAACAATCACTTCTGATATTGTTGTCCGTTTTTCGTGTCGGATTTGATGCACAACTCCACCGGCCATGTTATAAAAAATTGGTTCATGCACTCAAGAAGCTAGAGTTGCCCTCGGCTATTGCCTCAGGCAACTCTTACGCTTCTTTCGTGCTCTCCAAACGTGCTCCATAACTCGATAGTGCACGCTAAAGCATGAACCAATTGTTAAGTAGTATCGTGGCTTTAGAATCAAGTCAGCAGAATAGCGCGATTGATCTGATACTTTTAGTTTGGAGCCTTTAATTGAGATATCAAGTCAGAGAAAAAATCCTCAGAGTAAGGACGGAAATAGGCAACGAACTCAAACGAACTGTGAAGCTCGGTGTCCGTTGGCTTGTGCAAACTCTTGGTCAGTGGAGTTAAGAGAAAAAGTAGGCGCGCGAAATTTACCGTCACTGTTGTTCCCCTTAGTTCTCCCGCGTCTTATCTTCGGATCGCCTTGCTTTTTCGCTTGTTCGTGCAGAATTTGTGAAAGTTTTTCCATCTTTTAACTACTCGAAATGTAACAAATCTCTTAGGTTCCTTAATGAAATCCCTTGCGATCCTGAAATTTTGAGGAGAGAAATATTTCGATCAGTTGGTGAGGCTTAAATGGAACTATTCACATTTCCCTTGATTCTTAAAAAATGTCGTCTTTTGTAACTTTCTTTTTGGCTTGAAAGTGCAATTAAGATGACAAATTGAAAGGCGGTTTTTCTATCCCTAAAAGTTTCACTCTTGAATAATTTATTACTTAGTTCCTCTCATTGTATGTTGTCCTAATTTTCACTTTTTCGTTCATTCTAATTTTAGTTACATGAGATCGGAATACAGCAACATGTTTGAAACGCACCAATGTCGACCGCACGCGTATGGACACACATGGAGCCCTGGGTACGAGCTCCCTGCAGGAATGCTGCACGGTCATGCTGTATCCACTGGGATGGGTTTTGGCGCTTACCTTTCCTTCTGTAAAGGCTGGATCACACAATATGAGCTGGATCGAATTTTAAAGCTTCTCAGCGACCTTGAATTGGCTCTGTGGCATCCCATAATGGAGAATACAAAGCTCGTGTACAAAGGCCAAGAAACCATGATTGAGAAACGTGCCGGTAATTTGGCCGCACCTGTCCCTAAAGGGCTTGGAAAGTGCGGCTACATTAACAACATGCCTTATGACCTCCTTCAAAAGCGCCTTCGAGAATATCAGCAGATTACCCAGCATTGCCCCCGGCAAGGGATGGGAATTGAGGTCCATTGTGAGGATATTGGGATTAAGTGCCCAACTCCTATTGTAAACAACAACAACAACAACGACGACGACGGAGAAGTCCCAGTGGGTACAGGGACGAACGGTTTCCATTGCAATGGAGACGCAAAGAAGTACGGGAAAAGCTTCGCTTCTCAGGTACCCTTGGAATGGCGGGAGAAAAATACCAACAGCCGACCTGTTAAATCACTCAGGTAGATTGTGCTTTTGGTAGATTCAGGGAAGATCAGACTCAAGGGGCTGTAATAATGGTAAATAGATCAATAGTAATAAGCCAGGGCTGGAACAGAAAGTGGTGTGCCTGTCCGATCAGTTTTATTTAAGGGAAGGTTACCCCAACAGTGCCTCTATCCACCCAGGATTGAAAATAGTGTTGCCACGAACAGTGATCAAAACTTTTAATCCAAATTCCTTCACGAATGTGACGAGATAACTCGCACTTAATGTTTACAGTGTTAAACTCAACATCTATTTCAAGGTGAAAAAAGTACAACTGAACGACATTGAGAGGTTTTAACTTAGTGGCCTCTTGGCACCCTTCGAGGAGGCCACCACCGCGCATGCACGAAAAATCAAATGTCCCGTATGCGAGCCCAGGCGACGGTAGCGCATTGCGACAAATATGCAGGAAGACTTAAAAATACTGGGAGGTGGGAAGGGAGGGTGGGGGAGTAACTTGAAATGGACCAATATCCCATCCAGAAGGAAAAGAAATAATCTTAGTCGCTTTAATTTTCGAAAACCGGAGCACACTTTTCGGCAGTGACGGCCAATTAAGATGCCACTTGACTCAACTTTATTATCAAAATGCGCATATTCTTACTGGAGAAGTTACCCAGCGGGTCAGAAGGAATACAGAATCGATCTATAACTTGTTACTGTGTCCATTATCAATAGAATGCGCACGAGTTTTTCGTCATAGACAGGTAGAGCATTGGTAACTAATAGTCTCTTAGACTATGTCGAGGGAATCATTTAAAGGTGTTCTTCAAGGCTGGGAAATTAGACTTACTCTTCATAGTTACCATCATCACCTGAGGCCACCATTTAAACAAAAAATTCAGCTTGACACTCGTTCTTACCTCGACGGAACAAAATGTAAAAAGGTTTCACAAAGGCGCGCTATTTGCCTGACTTTTTGAGTTATGGTACTTATCTATCTTAATATTTTTAATATTGCAGGGCCTGAAGAACATGGAAGATAGGAGGTTAGAGTCCCACAAAGGAATACTACTTTTTGAAATATTCTACGTAGAACACTTGCACGTTTTTTATTGTGAGCGTTAAGGCAAATGAAATAAAGTGGGTTTCTTTTTATAGCCAAATGAATGTATGTTGCCGACTCTACCTTGAAAATAAATATGAGTCCCTGCAAAATCGTCTTCGTGGATTTCAATGTACCAATTCTTCATCGAAGGAACAGGGCGAATATTGAGAAAACGCTTTGACGAGCACCTCAGGGACACTAGGAGAAAACTTCCTGATATTTCTCTTCGCTGAGCATTTTAAGGTGGCTAAATCGGTTTCACTAGTTTATAATAATACCAATTCTTTGAGGGAACGTTACTTTAAATTTTCTTTTGCAATCCCAAACGGAGACCAGCTCAGCAGCGGTTGCAACCAACTCGTCTCCCTTTACTGACTAAGGGTCAAACCCAAAACGTTTGGAAACCTTATTCCAAAACATTCTGTTTTTCTTTACGGTCAATCTTCTTGCAATGATGCAAAATTGTTTGTCTCACGATGTAGACAGACACTTTTAACGTGGACTGCGACGTTTTGACTGCAATTTATGCGCTAGCCTTATTCAGACAACGTCTGGGTGAAAACGATTTCAATCCATTTGTAATGTCTTTACCACGATATGACCACAGCCTTTTTCACCATATGCATTCCACATGTGAACTTACTCAGAAATGGCATAGTTATTCGCTGAATCTGGAATGTGAAGGTCTACCTCAGTCAATGAGTTTATTAATTTCGTTTTTTTCCCTAATTAGAGTCCATTATCAACAGTCTCCTGTGTTTCGATGAGCAAAGGTTTCCATTAACGTATCTTAATTCCTGACACATTAAAATGCAGTGATAACATTGTGTTCGTGCTTACCCAGTCACATGAAGGCAAAACAGCTCGTTCATCCCAAGAGTTGAAGGTCGCGAATTTTCTCTGCATTTCATTCAATTTTCGGAGCGCGAAGAACGTACTTTTCACGAACACATCGTACGGCGAAAGTTACGTACTTATTGGCTCCCATTTTTTTCTTTTCTCCTTCATCAAAGGAAAAGAAGAGAAATATGTAGTCAATAATGGCTGTTACAAATAAGCTCTAAATATAGGTTGCCATCATTCAGTTTTGTTTCTTTGAAAAAGTCAGCCTCGGTTCGGTGAGTAAATTACTTCCTGTCTCGAAGTGGCGCCAATTCAATTCACCCAAGCTGATTATTTATTCACGACAAGAGTTGAAGGTCGCGAATTTTCTCTGCATTTCATTGAATTGAAAATTATCGGATATCAGGCCAGTGTAAATATCTGCGAGTCACGCCGCTTTATGCTTGAGAAAACTCTTTGTCATGGCACCCACGGAGGAACCGAAAGTACACTTATCGTGAAAAGGAATGGACGTTATTTAGTTTTACAGCGTTTGACATATAACTCAGCTGTGCTTAAGTCGATTTCTTGCGAAGTTTGATTGTTGTAGGAAAACGACCGTAGAGCTCTTAGAAAAGCCGTGTCGTGTACAAGTCAACGTGGTTTTCTTCTTAGTGTTTCGTTTACTTAATTTGGATGAGAAAAGGAACTTTTTGCGAAGTTTCTAATCAAATAATTGAACAACATCCGTGAAAAGATGTCCAGTGACAATAGCGCTCCAACTGCTCCCGGCGAGGGAATTTCAGCTGCTTCGGTCGCCGCGGCCTCCTTCTCGTCGGATTCTTCTTCGCAATCTTTGAATTCACAAGGTAAGATTAAAAATTTTACCTCAACCTTTCCTGCAGAAGCTTCAGGATTTATTTTCTAACCGTTGAGGTTTTTTTCTGTCGCGTAGGTTTTGAAATGTAATGGTTTTCGGTTCTGTTACTGCATAAATTAACGCCGTCTTTCTAACAAAAGGTTGTTTGTACGTTTTTTTTCCAGCTTTCGAGGTAGTGATGGCTACATTTTAACCTATATACTTGAAATGATTTGAAAATACCTTAAATTGAAGTAATTTTTGTTTATTACTGTGTCATTTCGGTCGAGTTTCGTCGCGTCACAAGGAAAGCTTAGCTCTTTACTCAACACGTTTCGAGGGGCTGCCTATGTCACGTTTTCTCTTCAGGAGAGCAATCCCAATCATCGCCCTATTCGTCGATAGGCGATATGTTCAGCGGTGCAAATACGTAATATTATGTTCGCAAAGATGCCGTGTAATATGGTGGCTGTCGTTGGTGAGCTTCTAGGTTAATATCGTGATGTACGAGAAAACGGGTGATGTTTGTCACTGTGAGATCGCATGACACGAGGAGTAGAAAGAAATTTGCATACGGATGCTCCATGTTTACAACACCTTTTAGCCCCGCTCACGAAATAAGTTGCATCTTTTGAAATATTTTTCAAACTTACGCGTTAAAATTGATTAAACGCCGCAAGAGCGTCAATTTTAGTTTTATAACAGTGAATGCTCTGATTTGCGATCGATTTATGTATCTCGCGTGTTTGATTCGATCAGTGTCGATGTCCCTCGGTAAACATGCAAATGAAACTTGTTATTGAAATATTTTAATTTCTGCATCGCTTTCAGCGGCAAGTGAAGTATTTCTATTCACAAGGCGAAGAAGAGAACAAATATTCCTCATCTATTCTAAGCTTATTTTACTAATCTTTGTCCGCCCAGGTGAAAAATGTGAGCGATAATTTAGTAAGAGAACTTGCTCAAATTTTAAATTTTTTCCTCTCATTGCATCAAATACTTAACAATCGTTTCGGTAATATGAAGGTTCTTGGTAATGCACTGGGCATGGTATTAATCCAATGGCAAAGTAGCAAACATACCTTTTGACATCAGAGGATCATAGTCTGTTGATTTAGGTCACACAATTCTTGCAGGCACACAATTTAACACATTAAGGGTTTTTTTTTTTTATCTCCGTTTGTTTGGCTACCGAATTACCACAGTGCAGTATTTATTTGGCTGGCATTCAAGTGATTGAAGAGTGGACATTGTAGAATAGTTATAACAAAATAAGGTAGTCTGTATAAACTTTCATGTGTTATACAGATCAATATTTGTTATTGTTGTTATTGATGTGCCTAGTAGATTGGATCCTTGTCAAACTTTCACTATGTATAGTGGACTTCCTTTGAGGGTAAACCCTTGGGAGTATAAGAAGAGTCCCTTGTAAAGAGCTGACCCCTCCATGGAGGAGTATTTACAGAAAAGATTGTGTTCCCTGAATAGAAGTGTTGAAAAAGAGAGTTTTGCTGGAGATGGTTTGATTGCCTACAAGCTCTTTATGGCTCAGTTAGTAGAACAGTAAAACTGCAAAATGGTTAGGTCTGACTCTTGAGTCTTCCATGGAAACCAAAAGTTTCCTTTTTGTCCCACACGTGCAGCAGCTTTCTTTTGATCAATTTGTGACTGGAAAAGAAATCTGGATACAGTAAAAAAATGTTTGCTTATGAAAAGAAACCAGATCTAGCACAATTAAGAACATTTTGTTTAAAGATCATTCTGTTCTGTTATATACAGCTTCCAACTTTGGAATATGTACGTTAGATATTAGTGCAGTGGATGAGAAGGGAGTTAATTACAAGTTGCTGCTAGTCTTAGACTAATACAAAAAGTGCAAACAAACTTTAGTGTTTATACTTGCAGTTGGTCTAGCTCTAATTTATTAACAAGGGAAAATGCTTTTTTATAAAATGGACATGTCAAGTTTATACCTGTAACCTGCAGTGTATATCCTTTGTATAAATGCCTCACATAACAAGCCCAAATTGCATTAGGCAACAGAAAAATTTTACAATATTATCTAACTTTAAAATCATGCAAAATTATGGTCTGTGTTTAACATTTACTCAAATTTATTACAGAAAATGCTCTGCAGTGTTCTGAATCATTAGTGTCTTCAGGACCATCAGATGATAGTCAAACTGATTCTCAGGCAATCTCTCTGGGTGGGAGTGTGTTTACAGCCATCCAGTTACCAGCAAGAGCCGGCAATGAAGTAGGATCAGGTACGTGTTCTTGAAGCTTGCTAGCAGAATATGAGCACCATGGCACAGAAGTGGTAGAACCTTGAGGGTCTTACTGGGTCATCAGTAGATGGCAGCAACCTGAGATTTATCCCTGTGTATTTGAGGATTTGAAGTGTTTTTCTTTATGTTTTAGTTGTCATACTCTTTGTTTCCTCTTTATTCATCACAACTACCTGCATCAGGTTGAGAGGACACCTACTTTAAATCTCACTGAGAACACTGGGCTTTGCTCCAAATTTCTCATGGACGTGTCTCGTGCAGTATTGTTGCACATGCAAGGGTACCAATAAGAACCTGTGTGTAGGATACCATAAGGCAGCAAATTGATGATCCCCACTAAAAATTAGATTTCATTAAAACAACTTTTTCTCTTGATTTTCTTAAAAAAAAATCTAATCTCCATTTGCCTATTTTAGTCAACTTATTCTACCTCTCTTCTTAGCAAAGCAATCAAAACCCTATCAGGTTTGAGTATCTAAATTTTTGTAGCACTGGTGGTAAATTCGCTTCTGGGGTATCATTTTCTGCTCTAAACTAGATTAAGTTCGCTTAACTTATTTCTTATTCTTTAGTCTGGTGGACCATGTTATTGCCACAAAGAGCCAAACAATCCAAAAAAATTTTAAAGGCTGTACTATGGGGTGATTTTCTTTTTTAACCCTTTAAAGAGTGACTAGCATCTAATTTCTCCTTACAATATCACCCCTGAATCACACAGTAAGGTCACGAGAATAAAGGAAATGATCACCAACTAAAGAAGCTCTTGATTGTTTGATAAATTCTCCAGGTCACTACCTCAGCAAATGCACAGAGAACAGTTTGGAGAATAGGTATACTGATGTAAGGGTGTAAAAGGTTAAGGATCATGAGACACAGGGCACTAAAAGATCTGTACAGAGGTCAATAATTGACCAGCAGTGTGCCAATGTTTGACAAACACTCAATCTTTACTTGGCAATTGTTATGTTCAAGATAATGGCAGATCAATGAGAGAGAGGTGGAGATATTTAACAACCATCGGGCAAGCGTTAATCAATCACTGGCATACTCATTCAATTATTGGTAAACCATCAGGGGGAAGGGAAATTTCTTGTTGAAGTGAAAGGGTCACAGATGTGTACACATACAATCAGGTTATTTACTCTTCCATGATAAGTATGTATAAAAATAACATATTTTTGCCAACTTTCTTTTCTGGATTAGATGTGTCAACTTCTGATAGTGGTCTAGGCAAAGATGCCTGTGATTCCGAGGCAAGAGTTTCTGCACCAACGCTGCCTTTTGTGCCCCAGTCACACCTCATTGACAAGTTGCCAGTTCCTGCATCAAATGGTTTACACTACTCTCCTGGACTCCTAGCAGCCAGTAACCTTTCTCAGTTGGCAGAGTTAGCTGCTAATAAGTCTGCTATACATCAAACTCCACCAAACACCACCCAGCTATCTGCACAGCCCATGCAACCACACCTCATTGGAAACCAAACTAGATTTGTCCTTCCTGGACAGGGAATACCTACTCCTATCATTGGGACATATCCCTCAGGAACTTTGATGCAAGTACCAGGACAATATCAGGGATTTCCCCCTGTCCCTCATCAGGTGCCTCCACCATTCATTAAAGGTTCCAACATTCAGCTTACTACTGGTGATGTAAAGAGAGTTGAAGACCTTTCCACAGAAGATTTCATTCACAGTATCAGACAGAGTCCTGAACTTAAGCTAGAGACAAGCACTGTTGTAAAAATTGAAGATGGAACAGAACCTGGAAACACTCATATTACTTTCACTATCAACAGTTCTAAAATACAGGTAGAAAGAAATAATGATATGAAATTTGTGGTACAAAACTGCTCTTAGAAGGTCCAATCTAGTTTTAGATGAGTTTCAGTATTTCTGAAAAATTATTTTTATGTACATCACAAAAGGTTCATAATTTTCCACTTCTAACTTGATGCATTTAGAAGGTTTTGCCTGAATATCTTAAGTGAAAACTTGAATCTTAGTTTCTACACAGTCCTTTTATGTTCACTTAGATCATCATCCATGTTGCAAACTAAGAAAAAAAGTAGTGGGAGATTTAGGGAATGTAAATGCGGTAACTGTTACAAGAAGAGACTGTGGACAGATTGCCACTGTTTTACACAGAAACATGGTGGCTTAAACGCACCACTTTTTACCTATTATCATATAATTATTAGAGCCACGCTGCACCTATGTACCCTTCCTAGACAATTCTGTGCAATAATCTGATTCATGAGGACTCCTAAGTGTGTGGTCATGAACAAACCTGATCAACATGTAAAACTGATCAGTTATATGATGACTTTTTTTTAAGGTGATTCTAAACTGTCCTGTAGAGCATCCATTTTTCGTTTATGGTCAGGGGTGGACATCAAGCAGTCCAGAACAGTCCTCAACCAAGTACAACCTTAACTGCCAGCAGTTGAAAGTTGGTGATGTGTGTATTTTTCTCTCTGCATCCAGTGCCCCTAGTATTCCTGGTGGGCTTGGATTTTCAAGTTCACCAGCCATTCAAGTGAGTGGAGCTGGTTCTACTCCAACACAATCTGCTTCAGTAGTCTTGTCAAGTGCAGTGAAGTCTCCATCTGTGAGTAGCAGCACAGGACAAACAGTGACTTCTGTGTCAGTGTCGTATGCCCAGACATTGCCTGGAATTGTAACCTTACCGGGAAACATACCTGGGGTTGTTGTTACTTCATCAATGCCACCTGGCATTCCTGCAGTGTACCCAGGAAGTTTTCCCTCAGCCCAAAATATTGGCCAGGGGAAGGTTGCTGGGCAGAGTGGAACTGACAGGTCATCTGTTCCACAGCCAGTACAGGGGTTCACACCTGATGGAAAACCATCAGAATCTCCGCATTCCACTGCAGCAGTACCAGGAGGTTTTCCTTTGTCTGGGGCACCTTTCTACCAACCACTTACGGGAACATTTATGACGGCTATGCCTCCAGGACAAACATTTGTGCAAGGAACTGTTATGCCACAGGGTTCTGTGGGAAATGGTCTGCTTGTTGCTGCAGTTGGTTTTGTACCAGGGAGACCACCAGCACCATTTGTTCAACCTGGAATGCTCTATGGCTCCACACCAATGGAAATGCTACAAAAAGGAGGCGACAGCAAACCAGAAGAATATTCACAAAAGGAAAGGACTGACTCACAAACTGAATTGTCACAACCTGATGCCAAGAGGGCAAGAGGAGAAACAGAAGTAAAATAGACCTTTAATTTGTGAGTGTTTTTATAGATAAGAGAAAATCAAGGGGACTGAAAAAGAGATATTGTTATATAAATGTATATTATATATAAGAAAAATGTCTTATAACTTTTATTTATTTGTAGGTAAGGCAAAAATCTGAAGTTGTCTTTAGTCATACCAACTATTAACGAGGATAGTAACATTTTGTGTTTTCTTAGCAAAGAAGTGTCCTGTATTAAATCTTGTAAATGTTGTGTTCAATCTTGCTGTAAGCACCTATTCTCCACTATGATTTGAAATGGCTTTATAGTATAATTGATTTAGTTCAGTGGAGTAAACACAATCTGAGGTACTTGTAAGTATAAGGATTATTTAAAAAAACACTTCATAGTTAAAAAACCTTCATCCAATCTTACTGTGGTCATTTGAATCATTTTATTTAAAAAAAAAGTAATTTTTTTTTCTTTTTATTTGGTATTGTTTTCTTTTTATTTGATATTGTTATGCTATTTACTATTTTTCAGTCAGAGACCTTACAAATAAGTAATGATAAATGTCACACAAAGTTTAGACCTCAAAGTGGGTCATTCCTGAAAAAATATTTGCCAACTCTTAATGGTTAAATTTCAACACAAAGTAGCAGATGGTGTGATACTTGGAATTTCTTCAAGAAAGGAACCTTATCAAACTACTGTAGCTGGATTAGCTATTAACAATTGATGATACAACTAGTAACAATTACAACTAATTAAGTGTGAAACATAGTACTAAACAGGAGTGGTAGCCTGGCAGAACTGCCTACATCCAGTTATGGACACCAAATTGCAGAATACTTTGAAGAACATTCTATTAAGAACTTGACAGATATCTAATATTGAGGTTTGAGGGAATGTTGTGAATTCAGAATTATGTCTATCCAAAACATATTTTGAAAGAGTTTCATCTAACCACACATGAAGAGCAGAGTAAGTTGAGGGGTCAATTACAGTGATGTTTGATAGGGTGTAAGTAGTGTCATTGATAGGACCAGTTCAAGCTCAAATGAATATCGATAGATGCATCATAGCTTTGCCCTAAGAAGGACCTTTGAGGGCTCGTCTGTTTGCAACTTGGGTGTCTAGCTCTCAAATGCTGTTGTGCAACCAAAGTTATGAAGGTTGCACAAGGACTGGAGTTGGTGGCATGTGGTTTTTGGGCTCTGCTGGATCACTTCTTTGATACAAATGTTCTAAGAGTTAGTAGGAAGTGTAAGCTACAAGCCATGGTTGAGATTGCTTTTTGAGTCTGATTGTTTGAGAGGATGCCAGACATAGGAAGAGTGCGACTCCAGATTATGCTCAATAATCATCAATTGAAAATGTTCCTGTTTATTTATTTATTTTAGGATAAGTGTTAGTGAGACAGTTTTAAAATAGTAAATGATTACTAAGTAATTAACTTACTGATGGTAATTGTGTTTGATATGATTTTGTAAGTTTGGGTTTCGTAAACGTGCTAGCAAGAACTAAAATATGTTATGGTTAACTTATTTCTTGTAAGCATGTCTTTGAAGCAATGTGTGTTGAAATTTTTAAAATCATTTTAAGGTTTTAACTTTTGCTCTCAAACAGATTTTATCACTTTCTTGTTAAAGACACGTTAACAAGTACAACACAACACTAACAGCTGACATGACTATCACTTCAGGTCTCTTCACTCAAAGTGAAACCAACACATCAGTATTTCAGTTTTGTTTTAAACCTATTGAACTGTAATGTAGCTAAGGTTTTTTTTAAGTGATGTTTTGATTGCTAATATTAAAAGCATGTTCTTTACAGTAGTATTCTTTTCTTCAAGAATTGAAAGTTTGTAATGTTGATTTAGTAGAAAGCCCCATTTTATTCGCTATATGTTTTCCAACTTAACAGTGATGCAATTTTTTTGGTTGCTCAGCATGTGTAAACCATGCCATGACCAATCCAACTCTTGTCACTCATTGGGAAAGAAAGGCTAACTTCCAAACCTGGTTGCATAGGATTTTCACACTCAGAGTTTGTCTGTTTAAAGTGAGTCTTAAAGGCACTAGGACTTAGATTGTGCTGTAAGGAAAAATTGAGTCGAATTGTTGTTCAAGTTGACTTTACATGCACAACATATCAGGGAGATAATATACCTTACTGAATTTTAACTCATAATGTACATTCTCAACTGAAATTATTTGTACACTACCAACTGGAGGGAAACAGCTATAGGCTTGATTTCAGCTCATTCCTCTTCACTTCTTTCTGAGGTATCCCTGGGAAGGAAGAGGAATGTGGAGTCATTGCTAGAACAGAGGCTGGTATTGACAATGACTAGTTTAAAATAGGGGTTTTTTCCTAAAGTTTTGCATTTAGCCAAACAGTTGGATTGTGGGTGCAAGGGAGGTGGTGCAAATATGAAGGATGCAATACTGTTTAATCACCAGAAGTGGACAGCAGTCAGTCAGAGAACATACGTAAATGGGTTTTGGCAGGCTGCCCAGCAAATTTCCCACTTTAAGATCAGGCAATGTGTGGAAAAAGAAAAAACCACCACACAAATGAGTTTAGGTGCTCATAAACATCTGCATAAGGAAGAAAAAGTTGGGAAAAGGAAAGCTTATGAATCTATGGTTGAGTTTATTTAATCATAGGTGTTCTGTTCATTTAGTATTTTGTCTTGAAGTGTAGGACGTAGGTCTTACAAGAGATTGTTTATAATTCCCGTTTAGGAAGTTTGGTTGTGTCAGATTGAAAGCACTATTAAACTGCCTCTCGATGGTTTCAGCACTCACACATTGCATCTGCCCACTGTGTTGTTTTCAAATCACTACACCCTTGGTGATTAAAAATTGAAGGTTATCATTGTTTCTTTAGGAATACCTTTATTGAACTCCACTGTCATTACAAATTAATGCAAAAAATATTCCAATAACTAAGTACTTCATATTGGAGTGTATTACCTTCAAATACTTCTACATATCTTAGTTCCATTTTTGTTTCATGAATGTGATAACAGGTCCATATCTCAGTATCAGAACTTTTAAGAATTAATCCTTTAGCTATGCCTTATGAATTTGTTCCATGGTCACAACCCAGTGGTTCACAAGTATAGGATGGGTGCAAACCTTGTCAAAAATGTTTCACCATAAGAAAGATTGGAGTGAACCTCTGAAACACTCTTGCTGATTAAGGAATTAGAAGCAACACATTTAAAGTGGCTACCTAAAAGTACAATCAACAAATTACAAAACATTTGTTTTAGAGCTAGGACTAACACCTTCAACCCATTACACCCACAAATCAGTATGCATACTGTTTTTTCCTGTTCTTCTGACAAATAGAATTTGTTTCAGGATATTCTCCTCCTCACAACTTTAGTATTTGATTCAGCAGTGATATTGTAGGAAGAAATTAAATACTAGTCACCCTTAGAGATGAAAGGGCTATTCTTTCATACTGTTGTCTGCACATCCTTAGAGTTTATTCCTCTAAATCTGTTATTTAGTTTGACTTTTCTTTGAAGTCTGGTTTCACTCATAAATAAATTATTAAAACATTGTGTTATGTCTCCATATCAAGCATAGTATCAAGCAAGATTGTTTTTCATCACGAATCACTGCCTGATCTCTGATTTTCCCACATACATACAAATACATGCACAAAGAAGGAAAATATAAAAAAATATATAGTAATTAACAGTAACTTTAAACACCTTGCATCTAGTTCAAATTACCATTTTAACAAAAATTCTCATAAATTTTCTTCTACAGAAAATCATTTACAGTCTAGTAATATGGAAGTAAACCTCCATTGAAGGTAAAATGAACAACAGACTTCAAAGAAGACTTAATTGCCTTCTCAAGGTTTCTCTTAATTACTATGAGAAGACATTGTTCAGTTGCATGGTAACACGTATGAATGTAGTCCTTCTTGGAAGCTCTTTTAGCTTCTCAGCTCCAACATATGTGCATGTTGACCTCACACCACCAAGAATGTCTTGGACTGTGTCATGAACATTGCCACGGTAAGGAACCTCAACTGTCTTTCCTTCTGAGGATCTGCAAGGTATTAGTTAAAAACCAAGCATTTCCTCTGAATTATCTGAATAAATAGCTGGAAATATTTCCTTAACCCTTTAACTCCGAAGATCTCACTAGTAATTCTCCTTACTGTCTGCCATACAGTTCTTGTGATGTTAGTTTGCAGAATTTGATATTAGATTAACTTATGATCCCCTTATTGATATTTTTCTTTATTCTCATTACTTGTCTGCTTGATATTGTATACTTATTGTCAGGAGAAATTCTGTCATGGTCACTCATGGGAGTTAAAGGGTTAACATGTGAGCCCACTAAAGGGCCAAACAAACAAAGATGTTCCTATGATTCAGTTAGTGGAGTATCAGAAGCTCAGAGGATTAACTCCCTTCCTATATTCTTATAAGTGGCACATGTTTGACATTTTTCCTTTTTAAAGCCTACACAAAAATTGACCATTGTTGTGTCTATCCATACACTCAATATCTAGCAAACCAACAACTCATTTCATCAAGTGGTCAACCACAAAAATAAGATAGTCAGTTCAAGGTTCATATCCTTGTGGCCTTTCAGATTGTTTGTGTGCCACTCTCATGACAAATATGTTTCAGTGCGTCTTTGATTAATATTTCCTTGTGTTAAATAAAACTTATGGAGAGAGTTTGCCATGACAGGGTTCTTTTTTACTTCAGCACCAGGGTAAAACCTTGCATCACTGACAAAGAGCAAGAACAGTATTTACATCAACAGTTATGTCGACTGATGATTTTGAGCCTACAAAAACATATCTCTGCCCCAGGAACATAAAATTTTAAGTCAAAGAAATTAACAAAATAATACATTATCAATAAATCTATTAATTAAATATGTGACACTACAGTATCACTCTTCCACATCAAGAAACTAGGCTTCAGCACACACATTCATTGGCTAGTAACACACTATTTCAAATTATTAGATCCTGATAGGACGATTGGTATGACAAGGAAAAATGGCTACTTATTTTAGACTGGTATTTAACCAGTGTCATTCTTTCTCAAAGACAAATATTTTCAGGCAAAAGAGTAGCAAGTGTATGTGAGGTGCTTTGACACAACAAACTCACCGGTAGTTGGCCACCCCTCCTGCATGTTTTTTCATTGCAGTTGTTGAACTCATGCCATAAAATATTTTGTACTGCTTTCCATCCCTTTCAATCAATTCTCCACCTGATGAATAAGACATTTTTTCAAATGCAAGAAATTATCAACCTCTCAGAAGTTAATCAGTGGTTGTTAAGTTTTTATCCAACAGTAAAAATGAGTTATCCTTACAATGGTTCTGTCAAAAAATGTCAAGAATTGCTGGCTTTAAAGTGCCACACCAAGTCTTAGTGCAAAAAAATAATAGACATTCATAAGTCAATCAATGAAATAGTTGTCGACATAAAATGTTGCTGTATTTTTAAGACTGTCATTTGCAAATGAAGGTAAGGATCATGCTTTACTTACCAGACTGATCATGGCCAGCAAACATGCCTCCCATCATGACAAAATCTGCACCAGCACCTGAGGTCACACATGAAACAATGTTATGAAACATGCAGGTTCCATGTAATAAGTGTATGAAAATAAGAATTTGCTCCAAAACAAGTTGTTAATTTTCTTGTTTGGAAAGGAGTGGGGAGTTAAGTGCATGAATCATATAATTTTTTCTCAAAATAATGTTGAAAAACCATTTACCAAAAGCCTTAGAGACATCACCGGGACATGTACAGCCTCCATCCTGAAAAAAAAAAAATCAAAAAAGAGAAAAAAAGTAAAAGAAAAAATTTTTTTTGAACAATTAAATAAAGTCCACATGGTATTCATAAGGAAAAGGCATAAATGATCAGAAAATTCTCCATCTAAATTTTGATTGTGTAAGCTACTTTTCTCTCGGGCTTGAACAACATTCCCGCCTCACCAAAACTATTCTCCTACAACAATATATATTCATATCCCTCTGACGAAGGGCTAACGCTCAAAACGTCAGCTTTTTTACCCTTTATGGTGGCTAATTTACGTTTTCAACCCAGTTGTTAACACTAAATTACCTGCTATACTCTCCCACCGACGCAGCACCACAGTTTCTTTAGAAACTTACCCCTTTATTCATGGACACCTAGAGTCCATGTGTAGCAATTATTACTAACTTCTCACCTAATGGCTTGCATTGCAGAGTATTATTTCCAACAAGGTCTTAAACAGAGACAGACAAGCACTTAACACTTAAACAGATGCCAGAAACAAGAAATCTTTGTGAGGATCAGGTTTCTCCACAAGGAGATTCTGCAACATGCTGTGGATAAAATTTCCTCCACAACAAAAATTCTGCCTTCAACTGAAAAGGGTTAGCAGGTGTATTAATTATAAAATACACCAAAAAAGTGAACATACAGAGATGATGTGTCCTTTAAGGCCATGTGCAGCATCAGCACATTCTAAAACTGCACTTAGCTGAGGGTATCCTACCCCAGTCTGCCTTCGTGTAGTGCAAACAGAGCCTGTGACAAAATAGTCAGATAAAGTGTCAGTTACCTAAATACTTTCAAATATTCTGCTAGGCAACAGTTCAAAGTCTCATGGAAGACTAGTAAGGCCGTGAGTTTTTCTGTTTCAGTAATCATAAATTCAAACATAGGGCTACTACATGACAGAAATCACCAATACATTTTGTGCAGCTCTGGTGAGGGGACATCCAACCTTGAACTCCATTCATAAAGTCTCTGATTACAGAACTGATTTCTAGTTTTTCTAGCTGAAAACAGCAAATGATGAATGTCTTGTTACATAGTACTAACCAGGTCCAATGCCAACCTTGACAATGTCAGCTCCATTGAGAATTAACTGTTCCACCATTTCGCCAGTCACAACATTCCCTGCCTAATGGTACAATAAAATGGTACCAAGGGATTCAAGTTGTTATTTCCTATACATAATTGCAGGATGGTTGAGAAGATATCTCAAAGACAGGTTTTTCTAGTACAGTGGGTCATTTCTGAGATGCCTGAAGCATCTGCTTTAAGATGAGGCAACATGCTTTATCTACTTCACACTACATTTCACTTTCTAACAGTCTCAGGTAACAGGATTCTACTATTGAATATAACACATTTTTTACATTACCTACCATAATGATGTGGTCTGGAAAGTGGCTTCTTACAGTTTTAACAAATTCCACAAAATGTTCAGAATAGCCATTGGCAACATCAAGACAAATTGCTGGTATATCTGGGACAGCTTCCAGAACCTGCTTTAACTTTAATAAATCTTCGTCAGACATTCCACAACTCGCAATTGTATACTGAAAAGTAAACAAGCAAACAACTTGAAGTATGATTACTGAAGATCCAGTTATCAGAATAACCCTTGATCACTTTATTATTGTCAGTTATAGATAGAGAGAAAACCTTCATTTTATTTGCTGCAATATTAACTGAGATATTTTCTGAATGTTAGCATACATGACATTTGTTGTTGTTCAATTAAAATGGAAGTCAATTTTTAGTCAAACTGGCAACCAGCTAGTTTTACTTAAATGGATTCTGAAATGAGATTTGGTTTAGGGAAAGTTTATTTGGCAGAGAGTACTCTTTCTGTGTTACTTTCATCAGAGTTTTGTGACTCCATACTTAAAAAAGTTAAAAACCATTGAACAAATAAGTAACTATCATGGCTTGCTATAACTGTCCTCAAGTCTTTTAAGGTTGCCTTGATCTATGATTATGAGTAAAAAACCACACAAACTGTGAGTAAATCTGTCTAAAATTTCTAGGAAATGTACTGGGCTGTCCAAGAAGTATCTTGCATGGCTCACTTCTGCTTTTCACTTTGACAGAAATTTGAGGATTGTGTTATTTCAAGTGATATGTTTTGCTGGCTTTTGTTTGGAGAACAGAACTTAGAACTTACAGGCAACACTTTGGCATGGTCTTTTGCAAATTCCTTCCAGTCTTCCACAGAGTAATGTTTGTGAATTGCTGTCAAAAGTTTGTGCTGAAAATTGAATGCAAAGTATTTGTTAATGTGATAAATTTGAGCAGGAAGAGGGAAGGGGGGTCTAATTCAAAGATTTCCTACATCCTACTTAAAAATTACCCAGCCCTCTACACAAACATTTTCACAGTTAAATGGGAGCTAAGAGAGAACTCCAGATACCATTTATTTATTTGACAAATGAAGGCCAAGTACACTCTAGGATTACATTAAAAAAAGGAATATTTACTTTTCCATTTCTTTTTTCACTATGAGAATTTTCAGTTTTCACTAATCTTGAAATGTGGTTTTCCTTTTTGTGGCTACCACCTCCCATAGCCACACATGTTATTGAAATGAGTGAGTGATGGTAACAATGGAACTTCACCCCATTCTGACCCAATGTCACTTAGTTTGTTCCATAGGGTCTTTGTAGTTCAACACCTTCACTAGAGATTATTGGGTGCATTACACACCAAAGAAAGAAGTAAGCCCTTTGAAACAAATCATTTTGTGCCTATAAATCGAAGTCATTTTTTTGGTTCTTGCCGTGCCACTAGAGAAGACAACAGAAGAGGATAAGCATCTTGCAATCATTTTAGGATAGTGCTTGATTGTGGACAAAACTTCTCCTTCCAGAAATAATATCACACTTATTAAGACATTATCTTAATAGGTGTGATCAGCACATCATGAAAACTTTGAAGAAATTTCTTTCTTTGAAATGAGAACATTTTACAGTTTAAATCAGTGACCTATGCCCAAAAGAGCCACTAAATTTGGGAAGCAAGCAAGCTGCAAATTATGATACCTTCAGTTTACAGATTAACCCTATTCAATGAATGATGGAAAGGTGGAATGGCAGAATATCTTAAAACATGGAATGACAGAGTTCTCAGCTTCATCAATTTACCTAAATATTCTGAGCTATTGTTCAGATGTAAGAAATTTATAATCCCTCATGCTTTTAGAGGATGGCAATGATTTTGTTCCAGTTTCTGATCAGAACTGCCCCCTTCCTTTTTCAAAAGGGAGCCCAAATTAACCAATTACACCCTAACATCAGTATGCATATTCTCCATACTGTTCTCTATAGATTTCCTACAGTGAGGACAAGGAGAATTTGTTGATCAGTCAAGAGAATATTTAGTTAGTGATCATTTCCTTTATTCTCATGACCTTACTGTGTGATGCAGGGGTTATACTGTTGGGAGAAATAGGATGCTAGTCACTCTCAGTGGTTAAAGGATTAAGGGTTTTGTATTTAAACCTTATCCCCAACATACCTCTGCCAAGGCTACAGCCATATCAAATGTACCAATGGTGTCCATGTTTGCACTAATGATTGGCACAACATCCTCAGGCAGTCCCTTCTTTGCATACTTAAAGTGAAAGTGTCTTGCCAGCACAACCTATTATTGCAACAAACAAATTTACATCATTCAAAATTCCAGGTTTTAAGCATCTCACAGATCTTTGTTTCAAGAACATTTTTTAATATGATATCTATATGTATTTTTTCTAAAATGTTCCATCACAGTTTCAGTTCACTTACTACCAATACAGCACAACAGATGACAGAGAAACTAGTGCCTTTTAATTTATGGAAAGCAGCAATACAGATGAGATAATTCCCTTTGTTGCTGGTTTTTCAGAGCATCAATGTGGGATGGAAAAAAAATGCTATTGGTACCAACATGTCGTTTTTTTGAAAAGACTTGTTCTGTTAAAAGCAAATTAAATCTAGCAAATTTATATCTTAATAAAACTTAACTTCTACTCTACCCAACAATTTTCCACCTTCAGGTTCAAAGCCTGATGAGTTGACCTCATTTCTGTTGTATGCAAACATTAATAATTGATTCTAGGGAAATCCAGAGGAAACAGCTCAAAAGCTCAGATCCCAGATGTAGGATAATTACAAAAGAAATAAAATATCCTGAGTAACTTTAGAACAAGAATGCAAGAGCTGGTATGCAGACATTACCAAATATAAAATGTGAGATGGCACATATAGAGTTAGAAGTGCAAAATTCAATCAATTAATCTTTTTAGCAATTACAGAGCTTGTCAGATTACAAGCTGTACTTTTTCCCATCTCATACCATGAGGTTAAGTCTGCACACAAACATCCACCCAGCAAGAGCTGAACCTGGTTTCCATATCACATGAAGTGACTACTACTCCCTCCCTTGATGGGGTGCTAGTCCATCCCAGGGTTACCCTCCTACGTTTTATCAGGCTTCCCTGACACTTTGCTTGTACCCATTTATTCTCCTGAGTGGAGAGAGACACTGTGAGAGCATGGTGTCTTGCCCTAGAACACAACACATGGACTGGCCAGGTCTTGAACCCAGACCTCCTGACCCAGAGTCCAGTACACTGACCATTAGACCACCACATCTCTGACTTATACAATGGGTTGGAGATGGTTTCCTAAAATTACCTATCAAATAGAGGATGGTTTTCAAAGCCTGGAGTGTGAAACAGGGAATACAATCCTGCAGGTTTGCTTTGGACTAGACACAATGAAAGGGGGTGTGAAGGTGGTGAATCCCAGTCCATACTTGACGCATTAACAATTATTTCAATCTTATCATGAAAATCTGTTTAACTATAGTAAAATTTGTCAAAATATTGTACAACCTGTCAAACTACTGTACAGCAGTTAACCAGGCTGGTCCATTTTCCAAGATCAGTCAAGGCTCATGAGAAGAGGCCCTTCATTTCCCTGCCTCCCACCCCATCACAATGACTGTAATCCAAAATTTTAATGAAAATTCACCCTGAACATTTCAAAAATTTTAAAATTATTGTGCATTGCAGGGTTCTGCTGCCATGTGTGAAAGGAGTAGTAGCAATTTCTTCTTCGTTTGGAGCGCTACCGCAAAATAAATTAATTATATTAATTATACTAATCGATAGTCAATATTTCCGTTCAAATGACACCAGACAATCAATGAAACTTATTTGCCACAAGACTGATCGAGACGATTTAAAGGACAAAATATGAGAAAAATCGTGAGATTAATGAACCACCAGTTTAGTTACATAGTAACAAGAGAAAAAATTTGAACAACAAGAGGTTAACGCTGGCTCATGCTGAACCCAGCCGTGCAAAGCAGTAGGGAAGATTTTCCTCAGCTGTGTCTTTAATGACCCCTCCACTATTGCTCATCTACAAAATATTTTAAATATGAGTTGCACACTTTAAAAGCATGCCAACTCACGAGACAACACATCGACCACACAAATACACCTCCCAGGGCTCCATAGCCAGTTGAGTAGAAAGAGGGCACAGCAGTTTAGAGGGCATGAAAAGTTTCCTTTTCCTAAGCAACTTACGTCTGCTCGACTTCGGATAGTGCTTCGTTTGGGTCGAATCAATACATCTTTAAAATCCAACCTGATGCTGTGATCTAGATGAGGCATTTTCATAAACAGAAAGAACGTTTCACGGACCACTTGTTAGTTTGTACGATTTGGGAAAAATGGCGGGACCACAGTCAAAATATGTCACGTGGTTTGTAATGTCTCAATTTTATTATATAAGCCTCGATGCTTGGTTGATAGCATCGATCTGAAAAGCGACAGAGATCAAAAATATTTTGCATCAAAACACCACTAGCTTGGAAATAGCGAAGTATGTTTTAGCTCAGTGAAACTCAACGAGATGATAGGTTTAAGGAGGAATAATTTTTGGAAGTTTCACTTACACTTTTAAGCAACCAATCGCTTGGGTCGTTATTTTGAACAAAGGTTTAAGCGCGTGCGTTCACTTTTGGCGCGCAAGTTCAACGGAGGCTGCGCAACATGGCCGATGGCACTTATGAGGTAAGTATGGCAAGTTCTCATTTAAAATTTCGATATATCGTGTCTTCCATATCGACCCATCTTAGAATAACATTTGTTATACGGGCATTGATATCTAGAGATTTATCGGAAAAGATCCTTGGTGGATAGTAAGGCACCTGTTTCCTTGTATTTTGAATTCTTCCAAGTTCATTCATTTGTTGTAAACGAATTTTCGTTTGAGAGGGAAAATCTTCCACGTGGATGAATTGGTGCTCAAAAAAACGTTTTGTTTGTCACTTTCGCTTCGATTATTCAGGTGATTGTGCAAAATTATGTAAAGTAAGATTTCCAGTTGTAGTTTCCGAAATTGATTACATTGCACATCGTAAAATGTCTTTGTTTCCCATGGTCTGAATGAATTTCGCATGTGTAATTTTCTTTTGATTGCTATTAGCTCAACTTTTACCATGCCATGTCACATAGAGGAAAAGCATCGGATTTATTCAATTATATCTAAAATCACGCTATAGAAGGAAACATTGTACATAAATCAAGGAAACGAGATGTTCATTTCTTGTACACGTTGCCTTATTTGTTTAGGTTGACAAGGTAATAGGAAGACGAAGAACACAATCTGGAAAGGAAGAATTTCTGGTTCACTGGAAAAATTACGACTCTCTTTACAGCACTTGGGAACCCATTGAGAATTTAAGTCCTTGCCTTCACACTGTAACAGAGTTTATGGCCAAAGCATTTCCAATGCCAGGTAAATATTAACAAGATTTATTATGTACCCTGTTTGCTTTGTTGTTTTGTGGTCCCTCTACAGATCTTGTAGCAGTACCTGATAGTTAATTTTCTGTAAATATTGGTGACTTTCATGATGAGTGTGCTCTTGTTTAAAAAGTCTGCATTGAACCTCTTGAGAATAATACACGATCAACATTGTAGTATTTAGGTACAAAAAAAAAAAAAACAAAGGTTTAGATGAAACTTCTTACACTTGCAGCTCAGAAGTTAAGTGAACGGATAACAGATATGATAGAAATTATCAAGTAGAACTAAGTTAAAATAAATAAAAAACTTGCACTGAGAAATATCTTGTCTTAGATCTTGAGGGTGGGAATATTTCTTTCGTCCAGCATAATATTAATTTGTTTGGGATTATACCTTAATCACCTACTTACTCATCTCTGTACGCATCATGATAATTTTTGAAAAGAGTGTGTCGTGCATAAACACAATTTTTTTGTCAGGAATAAATGCTGCCTTTGTTACTCATTTGGAGTCTAAACATCCAGAGATGCGACAGCTTAGAAAGGTCACTGATATTGATAAGAGAAAGCTAAGAAGTCTTCAAAACAAGGAAATGGTTGATGAGATTTTGAAAGTCAAAAATATGAGCCAAGAACTTAAAAAGTATCAAAGAGGGCGTGGAAGAGGAAGAAAAAGATCACAGCTCAGTGATCCATGTGAATTGTTCACCCAAGAAGCCAAAAAGGTTCGACCAGGGCCACACAATGGACAGATCATTGATCAAACTGTTTTCTCAGGACTTGCTTGCAAAAGTCCTGGAGGAACTTCTCCTAAGAAAGGAGAAAAAAAGTCCCCAGGAAAGAGGGGAAAGAATGGTTTGACTTGCCCTCTTATGGATGGTCTTGATGATGATGAAGTTTTAAGGTTGACCCGTACAACGCGGAAACATGGTGTACTGGATGAGTGTGTGTCTGTCCTTAAAGAAGGGAGGGTATGGAAAATAACTTTGTGCAGTGAAAGAAAGAAAAATGCCCTGACAACAGAGGTGGGATATGTTACAACCTATTGATAAAACAAAGCTAATCACAGGGTTTGATCCAGGCCACACCATTGTGCCAATCCCGTACTGCAGTTGAAATTGTCCCTTTAAAAAAAACAGCCAAAGGAACAATTTTCCCCCTTCAATATTTGGGGGAAAAACTTGAAAGGAAGCACACACAAAGAGTTTTATTTCAGTACAGAAATTGCAAGCTAAAACAGCATGGAAAGTGTATTTTATCACATGTTTAAAGATCATTCAAAAGTCATGTTTCACATACATCTCATGCTCAACCAAGCATAGTGAACTCACCTGGCGATCTTTACTGCACTTTTCACAAACATGCAAACTCCAAAGTTCTAAAGCCAACTTCTCAATTGCGTTATTTGCTGCCATCAAATTTAATTACAATCACAAGTAACGAACCTTGAAATACAGAAACACAAAAAACAGATTGAAATCCACCAATCACAAACCATGACCTTTTGAACCCATTAAAGTAAAGTTTTGTTTCCTAAGAGGTCCATTAAGATGATTGACGGCAACGAAAAACGCAGCCAGATAATTTCAGTTGCAGTGCGAGATTGGCGCAATGGTGCTGCTTGGCTTGTACAAAGCTCAAGCCTGTGAGCCATGCAGTGGATAGACACAATAAATGGACTATCGGCCTTCATTCATTTTGAAACTCCATTGTTTTTCCTGTCATGACACTCGGTCCATCACCGCTGAATCCTGTCATTTTGTCTTTGTGCAAGTTTCTCCTTTCCATTAGCAAGCAGTGGTAATAGTTTCAGCCTTTCCATTCCAAACTTTGATGTTTTCTAAAAAGTGCAGTTCTGTTTTAAATTAATTCAATACTTTAACATAAACAACAAGATTTTCATGATTAATGACATCTGTTGATTCATCAATTAACAGAGAAAAGGATAGGCTGGCTTCTACGTGTTTGTCAATGTTAGACTTCAGAACAGTAGCAATAGCGTCTTGCATACCTGTGGCACTTTGATGAGATTGATAGATAGTATTTCCTCCCACTCAAAGATTCTTAACAATTTCAAGGCCAACTTCATCTGGGAAATTGAGCAGTGAGTTGTACTTGACTGTTGCTATATCCTCCTTGGCCAGCCAGTAGACAGCTCTCATTGCTGTGAGGATCGCTTGTGATTGTGCTTTGTTGAATGTATCCCTCATAGCTTCTTCATTAATAGCATCCTTGTGTTCTTTACAGTCTATATGTCTTTGCAGAGTTGGGGTTCTAAAATTTGTACACCCTTCTGCCGATGCAAAGGGGTTTGTCTTCTTAGATTTCTGACAAATATAGCAGAACATCTCCTCCTTTTCATAGTTCAAACATTTTTGATGTGACTTGTTACTGTGCTTTTTACAAACATGTGAATTTTGAAGTTCAAAAGCCAACTGACGATTGCGTTTTTTGCTGCTCTCAATCATCTTAACAGACCTCTTAGGAATCAAAACTTCACTTTAACAGCTACAACCAATAGAAGAATTAGTATGTGTATGTCTATCAGTAATTAAGAAAGGAATTGAAGTTTACAAGGAGATGCTAGGACAAGATTCTGCTGTGAAATGTTTTGAAGTATAAAGCATAGTCATTGATCCTCTGATTAAGTCTTGACACCAATAACTTAACTTCTCTTTGTTTGTGTCACTTTTCTTGTATTATAAGGATCAGGTAAAAAATGTTTTTGTTGGCTTCTCATATTTTTACTCCTGATGCCCCTGGTGCTTCTTAGGCCCAGTGGGTAGCTTTTTGATACTTACAATATGGGCGTGGCCTTCCTAATCCCTGTTTAAGCAGAGTCTTATACAGAAAAAAGGGGTTCCTTTTTAGGTTTTATCATGGTTTAAACCTTTTATTCTATTGCAACCAATTCCTAACTTTTGGCACATAGAGAACTTGTATTATATGAAACCACATTAGGCTAAAGCTGTGTAACTATTAGCCAGCCCTTTATCTTTAATAACTTTTATGTGAAGTGCTTTCACACATTCAATGATTTGGTGTAAGTCCTGAATAAACATAAGGCTTGATATATTTCTTCATCCTTATCCAATGAATGCTGTGAAGATAGACATGTACCAACAAAAATGGTTGCATCTTTTATTTTCCTATCCTTAGATGTGTGATCAGTTTGCTGGCTTTCTTCATGAAGCATCAAAAGATGATGTTGTTAGTGTAGTCATACTGACAGGTGCAGGAAACAGTTTCTGTAGTGGTCTGGATTACCAGCATCTAATAACAACACATAATCGACTGGAAGCAAAAAGAATGGTTGAGAAATTCAAGTAAGGAATGTTGAAACGTTGAAATGTTAACGGGTGCAAGATAAGGTTGAAAGAATGAGGGGGCCTGGATGCAACAACGAGGGTGCAAGAAACACAAAAGAGAATGTCATTTAATTCAAAAATACATACAAAGTTTCTATTCTATACAAGAGTAGATAAAAGTCATTATTGAGTGTTTATGAACACTAACTTACACCCTAGTGTGTGTCTTTGAAAATATGTATATATGAATCAGCCACATCCTCTGTGTGGACAGAAGGTAGTGATTGCTCTTGGCTTTGACTTTTGATTGGAAGAAACATGTGGCTTCTAAACTCACAGTACTCTGAGAGTGGGAAAGTCATGGAGTTATGTATCTTATGGGCATTACATTAAATCTTTTGCTTCTAAGCATTTGTGGTGTACCTTTGTGGTATATAACTCTACACAGCCATGCCAGCCTTACTTCTTATTCTTAATAGAAGCAGTTTGGCAGGGGTATAGTCCATTATGGAGCATTCAATTTTTTATTAATTTATTATTTTTTTCAACAGACTATTGGTAGAACTGTTAATCAGTTTCCCAAAGGTTCTTGTAGCTGCTGTAAATGGCAATGCATTAGGATTTGGTACAGCACTCCTCAGTTTGTGTGACATAGTGTATGCCAGCAACAAGGTTTGTCACATATAATCCACATTGCCTTAAGAGTCTTAAAGCCTTGTATTTTTCATTTTTTTATATTATCTTAGTTTAAAGCTGAAATAGTTGTGGTTTAAATTTTTTCCTGGAGTTAGGGGCCCTTGCCACTATCTCATTGCTGCAGTACACAGTTACCACACAAAAAAAAATTTTCTTACTTATATTGAACTGTTTTCAATAGAATCCTAAGAACAATGATTATTTAAAGCCAATCTTTCTGACAGTATTTTTCCTTTTTTTTCAGGCTTCTTTTCAGACATGTTTCACCAAATGGGGTCATCCACCAATTGGTTGCTTGTCTTCACTTTTACCCTCCCTACTGGGAAAAACTGGGGTAGGTGCTTTAACTTGATTGTCAAAACCAATAAAAAAATTCTGCAACTTTGATCTGTATGATATTTTAAATGTACATAGATTACTCTTGTAATTAGAGTTCAGATCTTTAAATTCTCTAAACTTTTCATATTGTCCTTCAGTTGGATTTGAAATGACAAAAAAATTCCAGTGAGGCCTTCAGCTACTTCAAAATTATAATAAGTTTCCAAGCTTTGGCTGATATAAGGGATCATTCTTCCCTGATGATGCTGGTTATTGTCAAAAGTGTAGATACTTATTTCTTATTTTTACATTAGCTTAAAGCCTTACTGGAAACTAATATTAATATCATTTTAATTCTCTGTTTCCAAGTTCAAGTTATATAGAACTCTCACAATGGAGGCAGCCAACAAGATTTTTTTTTTATTTTATCTGATTATATATCTACTTATTGTACCACAACTTTTACTAATCAGCTCTGTTTCTTGCAGGGATTGTCAATGCTGTTATTGAATCAAAAGATGACTGCCACCCAAGCATGGGAAAAGGGACTTGTGATGGAAGTTTTCAAACCAGATAACTTCTTGGAACAGGTTGACAACAGAGTTAAAGTAATGGCTGCTATGTCAAATAAGGTAAATACTTAAGTTATGTGCCACATAAAGTGGAACCAATGTGCCAATGACCTAGCTTTTATTTTCAATCATTTCAAGAATTTTACATTGTATCAAGATCATATTCTCTACACCTTTCACCAGGGGTTAAAATTAGCTTCATTATATGGCTTCTAAGTGATGAGTGAATATTATTTTCCCAGTATCTGAAATTAAAATATGTGAGGTTTCAATTAAAGAAGTTTTTTTACTTAAAATATATTCCTATTTGTGAACAATAAGCAGTAGGGTCTGTGCTCGAGATTGCAACAGATGTGGGCACCAGTGGGACTTAAATTTTCTGGCTGGCAACTAAAATTCCTTGTCTAGTCTCTACACCTTGAGTGGAGACCTATCATACCCTTACCTTTTTGAGTCCCAAAGAAGAGCCAAACCTCAGAACTTTGAATCTTTGTAGTTAGGGGCTGTACAAACCCTTGCTTCAAGGAACTTATTGATAAACAACAAAACCTGCTGTTCTCTCCCCAAAAGTAATGCAGTGCCAACTGTTAAACAGTTGACACTGTCATGGCCAATCTTTCAGCTTGGCCAGGAATGTACTATGTACATAACCTTTTGCATGACAGCTGTTCAACAGTTTGCATGGCATTTTTTTGTCATAATAGCTCAAACTCTTTTCAACCAAGATGCACTGCTTTTGTTGGGTCAAGAAAGGCATAAAACTTCAAATTCAAGGATAAAGCTTTAAGATGATGTATATTATGATTTGTAAATATATATACCAGACCTTGTTATAGGCCTTTTTCCAAGGGTCCTTTAGCAAAATAAAATGAATTGCAAAATTTTGCAGCTGTGGATGGATTCTCGATATTTATGGTCAGTGGCTCTTGATCCCACTTTTTTTATTCAACCAATTGGGTTACTTGTCTCCTTTTGACCTTGTTTGTCAATTTTGAAAGTTCTCGAAGGTTACCAAATCTAACTTAATTATTACTCTTTACAGATTCTACAGGACACAAAATCTCTCATCAAGCATTCCTACCAAGAGACACTTAGTGATGCCAACAATGAAGAATGTAAATTATTTCTAAAATATCTTGGAGATGATAAAGTGTTAGACACTTTGAAAACAAACTGGCTTCCAGATGTAGTTATTACTTGATTTTATTATTATTCTCGTTAACATTATTATTATTATTATTATTATTATTATTATTATTATTATTATTTTGAGGTTGTAACTTTTAAACAGATAATGTTGCATTTGCTGTAAACTTTAAGGCACTACAGTGTTTCACTCGTTATGAAGGTAAATGCTACCCCATTTTTTAACTGCTTTTTGTCAAACTTTTTAATATTAGTTTTTATCAAAGTTTTTATTTCTACCTTTTTCCACTGTTAATCATAACCATTATAAATTCCTCAATTATTATGAGTGCATTTGCAGCTTCATTTTTCACTAATCATTCTGTACAGTTGTAATTGGACAGTGTAATCAGACAATTGGCTGTAATTGAACAGTTGAAGCAGTCAATTATACTAGGTCCACTCAGCTAAATCCACCAATCACAGAACTTATTACAACAACCATAGCAACAACCACTTATCCAAAGAAAAACTAGGCAATTTCTAAAATGAAGGAATAATTAACTAAATATATTGTCTCCGCTGGAGATATTTGTTCTAGGTGTATTTGTTTTTTTGGAAATTGAAATGGTTATGATTAATTGGTAACAGTATTTCTTGTCTTCCAATTCTGTCTGTAATCATACTCGTGATAAACAAATTGGACTCCCACTTCGTGGTCCTATTACCATTGTTAATACATCACCTGAGTGATATTCTTTTTTCAGTTACCTCTGGTTTGCACTCAGTTAATGATATAATAATTGCAGACCCAGTGTCCACTGACACATCACTGACATCCACTACATGTCAGGGTACATACCCCAACATTGTACTTTCTTGCAAAATAATCAGTCTTTGGATTGTTTGTAATAAAGACCTTAAGCAAACCACCATGGCAACAGCAACAAAAGCATGGCCAAACAAAAGATTCAATGAGGACACAAGTAGTTCAGTATGTATGTTTAAAATTTTATTCATTTCTTTTCCATCCTCTGAAACACAACAACATAAATCACCAAAATTTGCATGGGGTAAGAACAGAAATTCTGATGGCAAATTATTTACCTCTGTGTAGAACTAAACTCTGTTCACTTTTCTTATGTTAAAGATGATGTCTTGCACTGTTAGAGAGGGTAATCACATCCAGCATCCATTTTGTTGACATTTTCATCAGCATTGCCATCCTGATTGCTTAAGATTCCTTAGGATTTCTGTCAATTAGCTCTCCTGTGTTACAAGTTACTTCCAAGGACAATCATTGTCTATTCCAGGTAAAGTCCCCTTTTTCAAACTCCTGCTGGACACAATAACTGTTCGAGCTCCACTTAGCTGGCTTTTTATCTTGTCAACATTAGTTGAAGACTGAAGAACATACCCTTTTACATTTAATTTTTTAAAAAGCCCTTTTTCATTTTGTTTATATTTGGGAATTTATGAAGCAAGCTTTACATCAGTTTGGAAAGAATAAATATACTTTAAACTGGTAACCCACAATTTATACTCTCTTAGTAGGAAAGGAAATTTGTGAGGCACATCTGGTATGGAATGTTTGTGCTGTGGACTCCTTGTCACAAAGTAATATGTATTATTTGTAAGGAAAAAAATCCACTCTGATTTATATTTCTGATTATTTTTTTCCCTAATAGTCTTGTCCAATGTTCAAGTTTTGTTGTTACAGTCCACTTCGTGTAAAGCCAGATTAAATTCTAATGGCTGGGTGGGATGTTGATGTTTTCAAGTAATATATTATACAGACTGTTGTTGTGTGTCTGAAGGGTTGCTTCTTTTATCGCATTAGTTACTGTTTTTGAGACTGGTTTCACAAATCTAGGATTTTTAGTAAACATTTTAACAAGTTTGTAGTTTATTTTATTGGAAAATTCCATTTGATAATTCCCAAATTGAGAAACATATTTTGCTATTTGAGTGTACAGCATTTCAATTGATAGTATGGTTACAGTGTCAAAAGCAGAGGTATAGTATAGTATAGAAGTTTTTTCAAAATAAGCTTTTGAATAAGGTGCCAAACAGATCATAAATTATTCCTTTTTTGTTTCAATTCATAAATCTACCTTCAGTGTTTTAAATTTATCTTCCACTCTGCACTTTCTGAACAAGACTTGAATTGCACTAGCAAGAATTGTGTATTTTCACCCCATTGTCTCTTTATGTTATTGGCTAGAAGTTGTTAAGATTGTGTTCAATTATTTTTCTTCACCCCCCCTAAGATGACATTGTAAATTCTCTGTGCTGTTTGAAATACATTTCTTAGTATTTTAGCTCTCAAAATTTGGTGTTAAATCAAGCAGATACCCATAGATTTAAATTATTGTTTCTCTCGTCACCTTTCTGCTCAACATTGCATTGTATTGTAAGCAGAAACAACTTATTGAACACCTCAGGAAGTGAAAGGTTTTTATGGTTTTTCTTTGTTTTTGTTTTTGTTTGTGAAGAAAATCAGAAAAATCAGGGCAGAAATTAACCTTAATATGTAACTTCCAGTTTTTAAGTAGACACAGTTATTGTTACTGTAACATGCATTCAGATGAGATTAAAAGATTGGTTTGATTAACATAATTGGATTTGCAGGAATTGTTATTAATTGGTCTTTCAGACCAGGATTAATTCTTCCTTAAATGTCAAAAATAAAATGATATTAAGATCTGAAAATATTACAGGAAATTAAAAGAAAAAAAAGGGGGCTTATTCCTAAGCTGCAACAAGTGCTTAATTCCACTTGGAAATCTTTGTGATCTTTCTGTTCTTTTTACCAAAATAATTCCTCTCTGTTCCCTTATTTGCTCTATTAGTTTATTAATTAGTTTATTTTAGCCCTAAGGGTCTACTTATTTCTTAAACATGGGACTAAAAACATTTTGAGTGCTGGATTATGTTCGGCCAAAGGTGATTAAGTACTTTTCCACATTCATTTCATGTCTGTAACAGTTTACGCTTCCTAAGATATTTCATCATTGGTTCTAGTGTGGAGTGGAATTTTTTCATTGAAAGGAGGAAATCGTTAATAGGAGACATGATGAGGGTTTTAAAAGGGGTGCTGCATACCCTCACTTACAATTTTTTTGACTTTGCCCTGATCCCCTGATCATGGTTAGAGGAGAAGAGCTTCTCTACAGGACTTGAGGCATTTTTCTCGGGTATATTTACAATATTTTTGTCTGATATTGAGAAGGCTACACATTCCCCTCTCCCATGGCTATCACTTTTGTTTGATTATTTTAAAAACAAAATTTCTAAAACTACTTCCTAAAAAAATCCTCAATTTAGCTGAACCTTTTATCTGCTCATTTAAGCCTTCACACCCTAACATCAGTATGCATATTCCCCCCATTTATACATTTCCAAAGCTACTGACAAAGAGAATTTGTTTGCCAATCAAAAGGTTCCTTCCCTGGAGACCATTTCTGTTATTCTCATGACCTTAATGTGTGATTTAGGAGTGATATTTTAGGTAGAAATTAGATGCTAGTCACTCTTAGGGTTAAAAGAGATAATTTTTGTGAACAGGGTAAAGAGATCCGAAAGTTAACAGTGGAATGACATTTACTTTATTGCATTAACCCTCTTACAGAGAAAGCCCTGAAGCCCACTGATTGTGTAAAACCATGGTTTGGGTTAGACTTTGTGTAAATAATAGATGGCCCTCAGAGTCTAACCATTGGGGCTCAACGTATCACTGTTGATATCCGTTTACAAAATTTATTCTACATTGATAAATGTGGTGGTTCTGGATCTATTAACAAGCACTGGTAAATTAAACAATCAAATGTTCGTTGGAGCCTGATGCCACATCTTCAAATTTTGCTGTGCAACTTATTGATATTTTCATTCTAAAATGCAAGTAACAGTCCCAAAATCATACATTTAAAAGAAATAAATAAAAATACACTAATATCTACAAAAACTGCAGAAATACCAAAAGATTCGTTAAAATTAGTATTATAAAAAATCTCAAACCACTATGGATGATTTGAGTTACAATTGTTTGCACTATGAGCAAAATTACTCGAACTAGATCGCTTCAATTGGGAAAGAAAAGAAAAAACGAGCAAAAAAACTCTGGTACTCTACCAAGCAATCTGTACTGTAGTTACTCATCTGATCAGCTTACAATCTCCAAAAGAACATCAATCAATTCATCAGAAAAAAATTTCGTAACAGACTCAAGCAATCAAAACATACAAAAGCATGGAGAGAATTTGGGGATTGAAACTAATCATAAATGACAAAGTTTCCTGAGAGGTTCAAGGTTTGCCCTCTATGCAGTAAGGTTTGCCCTCTATGCAGTAAGTTTTGTGTTTTTTTTGTTTTTCCTTTGTTCTAATATTCATTGGTTCATTTTTCTTCATTTCGATCCAGTTCAAATAATCTTGCTGCTTTGAGCGCTACACAGATTTAGTTTGCTTTCATTCACGTTTTGAATTATTAGGTTGTTACTGAGCTGGTTACCTCAGCTATTTTGACTATAGTAAGTGGTTCAAATAATTTGTTTTTAGTTTTCAATAGGAATTGGTGTGGCCTAAAAATATAGCTTACACTTAGACTGACCATTGCTTAGTAAATTACGAACATCTTGCTTACCAACATTTGTGATGTTATGATTGTATAAGAGTTTTAATGTACGTAGCTGACAGTTGTTGTTGTTGATGGCTTCAGCCAAGTGCTGTGCTCCAATGTTTGAGATGTTATTTACTGAGAGGTCTAATGTGCGTAGCTGACAGTTGTTGCTGATGGCTTCAGTCAAGTGCTGTGCTCCAGTGTCTGAAATGTTATTCATTGAGAGGTCTAACTTGCGTAGCTGACAGTTGTTGATGGCTTTAGCCATGTGCTGTGCTCCAATGTCTGAGATTTCATTGGATGAGAGGTTTAATGTGTGTAGCTGACAGTCATCGATGGCTTCAGCCAAGAGCTGTGCTCCAATGTTTGAGATGTTATTTCTTCTGAGGTCTAACATGCGTAGCTGACAGTTGTTGCTGTTGATGGCTTCACTTAAATACTTTGCTCCCTCAGCTATCAATTGATTGCCTGTGAGGTTTAACCAGCTCAGTTGAGATTCCCTACATTTTAACAATTTGCAAATCTCCAAACAACCTAATGGACCAATGTTATTGTGACTCAAATCTAAATGTGAAATTTGTTGCACATTAATTACATTTACTAACGAAGAGCACTCAACAGCTGTGAGGTGACAAGAAATAAAATTTACCAAATTGAGGTTAGTTTGTTGAAGTTTTCTCTGTGCTTCTATCTTCATTCTACTGTTTTCGTTTATACATTTGATTAATGTCACTGTTAAATCTCGTTCGTCTCTAGTCGGCCAACTGGTCACTTTCCTTTTCTCGTCATTCTCTGTCCACTTTTCGCTGTAATCTGCGCTTTCTATTTCTTCGGTTTCAACAGGAAGAAGATCAGTGATAATTTCGCTTGGTAGGTGACTTTTATCCTCCATAAGTCCTGCAAGAAACTGAAAAACCAGCTGCCATTTGCCGTTTTTGATGTTCTCGGAAACAAAGTTTCTCAATTCTGTTTCACTCATGTTTGTCAAGTACCTCGCTGCGAAAAACTCTTGCATTGTCAGATGAATGAAACAGAATTGTTTTTCATGTTTTAATAAGTCAGTTTGACGGTCGGGTAAGCGGTGAAAAAGCGCGCTGTCTTCCATTCCGCGTACTTCGTTTCCTCCTAGGATCAGCTTTCCTTCTTTGATTCCTTCAAACGCCACTCTTCCTAATTTCTCGAATTTCTTCACCACTATTTCAGGCAATTCATCTGATTCAAAGTATTCGCGAACGAAATTTTTATCGCGGAATTCTTCCGTGCGTTTGAAATAAAACACTTTCACTGCAATCTTGTAAATCCTGGTTAATTCGGACGGCAGGGTAACAGTGGCACTGTCGAACTGCAGTACTTGTAACAGACTTGTGCACATAATGAAGCTGTTTACAGGGACATAACAGAGCGAAAGCAAATTCATGTTGCTGTTGATGTGTCGCCATAGTTTTTTACCCGCCTCCTCTTCCTCTCCGGTTAATTTGTAGACATATTGTTCAACTTGTTCCGATGAAAATCCGAGAATCTCGTACATTTTGTCAAACGAAAGGTGTCTCAAGTCCGACAAAGCCGTAGATCTCGTGGTGGTTAACACTGAAACCCCTTTAAGAAGTTTCCCGGTCACAAGCCATTGATAGAGGATTTGGAGCGGCTTTTTATCTTCAATGCTTTTGGGATAAATGGGCTCCTCGGCTGTGTTTTCGTCATGTTTGTATTCGTCGAATCCGTCAAAAAGTATGAGAACACCTTCAGGGTTCTCTTGGAGGTGATACCAGAGCACGTCATCCATGTAATATTTGGGGAAATACTCGGATCTCATAAACAGTTCCCTGAGGCTTAGTTCGTCGGCTGAGTTGAATCTTCTGCATTTTATCAAGAAAGCAACATAAAAATGGACTTTAGCACCTGGCGTCGCTTTGAAAACTTTATCCAATGCCCAGTCTCTGAGAAGTTTGATACAATATAATGTCTTGCCGATTCCGGGTCGACAGACGATTAAAACTTTCTTGTTTTCCACATTCAGAAGGTCTTCCCGGCTTTTCGGTTGTAAGTGCGACCTTCTATAAACTTTGAGCTGCTCCTCTCGGTTTTTCGGAAAGTCATACGTTTCTCTGTTCTGAATTACCACGCAATTTCTGTAAATCTGATCGAGAGTCAAATGTTTAGCTGTTGTGTCGTCGCCTGGATCACCTAAAAAAGGTGATTGGAGTTCTAAAAGTCCCTGGGTCTCTTGATCAATTATTTTCTTTGTGTGTTTCACGAATTTTGTAAACTTTCGTTTTCGGTATGGCTTGTAACCTAAATGGGCTTTTAGAAACTTTGAGTCTTGCATGAAACTCCTTTCAGTGAATGCCCGTGTAAAAAGGTAGATAGTTTCAACCCCAATGCCAGTGACAAGAGCTGCATTCACCACAAAGACAAAGTACATCCAGAAGGTTTTATATTTCGCTCGTTGATTAAGACAGTCATGTAAAGTAAAGGTTTGGGCTGAATTCCTTGGCTGAGTGGTTCCATTGGTTAAATAACAGTCAAAGGTAGAGGGAAACTCTAATGGATAAAG